TTTATTGGGGTGAAAGACAATTGGCAACTCGCATTGAACAGCTAAAAACACTGGCTCATCAAAAAGTTGCAGCTTTGTCGGGTGGAAGTCCTCAGCACAGCAGGACCCCTGGGTGAAGACAAACACAATGGCTAGGCTAGTGGAGTAACCTGTAGGGCCAAGAAGAGACACCAGAGGGTGCCAGACTAAGTACCTTATATACATGGATCAATGGGTGCATATAAATTGGCAACTCACATGGTGGAAAGAATTAGTGCTTTAAGTACAGTATCACCATGATCAGCAGCTAGTTCAGTAAAAGCTTCACCCTCCCGATAATAAATCTATATGAGAAAGGTCATGGTAACAGAAACAAAAATTTCTACAGAACACATAAAGGTTTAAATCTGTAAAAAAAAGAAAAGAAAAAGCTTGCTAAAATTACAATAATAAATGGAATTTACCCAGGACATTTTTCTTTTTTTTATCAACAAAACTGGCATTACATGTTAAACTTTACAATTGTTACTGTTAATTAATTTAACCTTACCTGTATAACACTTATAACTGTATATGTACTGCCCGAGCCAAGAATATGTCACTTAAAGAATATTCTTCCCTGTAGCTAGTAATGTACCTACTGCACCAGCATCTCTGATTGTCCTTGTAGAAAAGGAAATTAGCTTGACTTATCTTCATTTCTTTGTGATGCTGGAGAGCTATGCAACCTAGTAGTGCCACCACCATAAATCTGACAGCAGAAGTACAGCAGCTTTTTTAATGAGGATGCAGTAGAATAGGTGATGCAGGGGCTAGGTGATAAAAAAAATCCAGATTTGTCAGCTTTTCTCTCAAGGGAGAGATAAAAATAAAGTATCTGTGATATTTAATGCCCAGTGAATACTTGCTGACTTGTGTGTGTTTATAGTGATTCCTGAGAAGTGAATGCATCATGCATTATACAGGCATCACTCTCAGGAAGCAGTTCAGGTTGCCACTTCGGCCACAGTCGTATGTCATACAATCTGTCCTCATTTACTATTCTGTGTTATGTAATAGGACCTTTGAATTTCCAGCTCAGTGCTTGAAGTTACTTACATCAGTGTTGTCAGTGAAGTGAGACACGCTATACTTAATACTGAAACAAACACATTGAGGCTAATCAGTTTTGTGAATTGCATGAATATGCTAATTATCTGTACAGAAAGAAAAGTTATCTGCAATGTCTTCACAGGGGAAATGTTTAAAGCAAACCTTTACCCCTTAAAATTAATTATTTGAACCTGTCTCCAGCTCCCCCCCTCTCCTACAATTTTTTTTGTGATTTCTACTTTTTTTTTGCAGGGCAGCACTCTGTCTTTGCGTGCTCAATTCCATGTATGTGCAGATGCACTAAAAGGCTCTGCCCAGCCTTCAGAACCTAGTATTTGCACATGCGCCAATAAAACTTAAAGGGGCACCTCAGTCCCCTTAAATCTGCCCCCCCACACACACACACAAAGGTGCTGCCATCTTTGAAGGCCTGGTGCATACACTGAAGAGCTCTGCCCAAAGAAAAGATAGAAATGTGACAGCAGAAAAAAAGGCCAAGTGGTCCATTTTTTTTTCAATTCCTGCATGTTATTTTTTTGTCCTAAGCATGTTTGAAGCCATTTACTGTTGACCAACTCACTACCTCTGTTGGAAGTCTATTCCAAGCATCAACTACCCTTCAGTAAAATAATACTTTCTAAGATTATTTAGTTATTACAGATACTTATATAGCTCCATCAATTTATAAAGTGCTTTATATGTGTGTGTGTATGTATATATATATATAATGCACATTCACATCAGTCTCTAACCCTCAAGGAACGTACAATCTAAGGTCCCTAACTCACATTCATACATATCCATATTAAGGGCAATTTAAACAGGAACCAGTTAACCTACCAGCATGTCTTTGGAGTGTGGGAGGAAACCCATGCAGGCACAAGGAGAACATGCAAACACCAGGCAGGTGGTGCTGGGGTTAGGATTTGAACCAATGACCCTAGCACTGCCAGGTGGAAGTGCTAACCATTTAGCCACTGTGCCCACACCTATGCAGCCTTTGTGAAAGCCTTTACTTTGCCTTCTAGCTTTTTGTGCTGCAGGGCAGCACCTCCTACTTTCTTGCCTGGTCAAGAATGATGTGTGCTCAATTCCACAAGTGGGCAGATGTGCTAAAGGGCTTTGCCCAGCATTTAGGACCTAGGACCTAGCAGAACAATTCGGCAGATCTAAACGCACACCGAGTTGTTTCCCTGGTGCATTTGCAAAGAGGGCAAACCTCAGGATGTTCCAGACCTTGGTTTTTCCACATATGCAACAGATGTGCAAATACTTGGTCCCGAAGGTTCGGCAGAGCCCTTCAGCACATCTGCACATGTGCCAGGCCTTTAAACATTTGAGCACCAGTGGGGGTGGAGCCAGAGTTAATGTGACTGAAGTTCTTCTAAATGTTGTTGGTACATGGGTAAATACCAGGTCCTGAAGGCTGGGCGGAGCCCTTTGGCACATCTGCACATGTGCCAGGCCTTCAAAGATGGTGGCACAGGTAAGAGAAGGGCAGGGTCTGAAAGACAGGGGCTTCTAAGTTTTGTTTTGGTAAAACTGAAATATGGAACAAATTGACCCCTGCAATGGGGCATGCCCTGCATTGCATGGGTTAAGTGCTTATTTTTGTCTAGGGCAGGGGTAGGTAACCTGTGGCTCTCTAGCTGTTGTGGAACTACATTTCCCATGAGGCATTGCAACATTACAAAACTGACAGTTACAGCTATGACTTGCAGAGACATGATGGAACTTGTAGTCCTGCAACAGCTGGAGAGCCGCAGGTTGCCTACCCCTGGTCTAGGGGAACAAATAACCCTCCATTCACACCTGAGTGATTTGAAGTGCGTTTCCAGAAGCACTTCAACCCACAACACTCAGATTTTATGTTATTTAATTTTGTCTGTTCACATCTGAGTGATCAATCAATGCTCAGATAAAGTACATGCCTTCTTTGGGGCATGATCATGCATTTTCTGACTAAACAGATATCAATAGAAGCACCTATGTTTGTAACTTTTGTTTTTTTGCCTGACTTTATGCCATTCGACTGTCTCCTCCTAGTAACTAGCTTTTCACTGACTAAAACAAAAATTCTTAAGCCTGAAAATGTGCAAAAAATGTACTAACATGATAAAAAACACACACAAAATGACAAAAGGCATTGATGGTCCAGTGTGAAAGTATCCAGAATCAGTTATACTTACCTTACATCACTGCTTCTCTTGGTCTCTGGCACAGATCTCAATGCAGACTGCGAGGCAGCAAGGAACTGAGGGAGTTAAGGTGAGTGTAAGGGTATATTCTAAGGGTTACTACATTCATTCAAGACTAGTGTAGTAGCTGTGAATGTTATTGTGGACTTGGGTTTTATGAATGATGACACTCCTCTCCAGTCACCATCTTTCAGAAGACAAGCTGTCTGTCAGCTACTACTATAGTCATCTCGTTCAATCTAGCTGGTGGCTGCAGGAGGTTGTGGGCCCAGTCTTTTATCAATACAACAGGAGCAGAAGAGGCACAGACTGCATGGCAATGAGGGCTGCAGGATTCAACGCTGCCTGTAGCTCTCCCAGTATGAATGCCCATAATTTGGGCTTCTGCCTGGGGTGGAGCTAGAATGTCTAACAATCGTTTAGGGTACACTGTCAATGACTTTAATTGAAGTGTTTGGCAAGCTTTGCAAGTTGCCAATGCATGCCAAATGTAGATAAATGCAAAGCAAAACAATGCATACATGTTATGTTTTTATGTATATACTAGAGTGTTCCCTTTTTATATTACAGAACAGACACTGGCTTTGCAAAGAATTTAGAAATCTCTTAATAACACAAAGCAAATGTCTGTTCTTTGTCCTTGTGAATGAAGCCTAATGTGTCTTGTGCCTGCCTCTATTCTAAACGCTGTCTGTCCTGTATTAAAGCTGAACTCCAGCCAATAACAATTTCTGGCCATTTGTAGTGTAAAAAATAACACTAATAAGGTGTGTGCAAAGTGTGGCTACTCTTGTGTTATGTAACACTCAATTACTTTCATTGCCCCATAACAGTACAGTCAGTGGCAAGAGTATGGGGCTGAAACGTACAGCTGTGGCTGAAATTCACAGATCATGGCTAGTTTCTTGCTCTGTAACTCATCCATTTTGAAAACATCTTTCAGTAAATACATGTTCTGTGCTTAGAGGAGGAGGTAGAGATGAACAGCACAATCTTCTCTCATCCAATCACAAACTTGTTTTAAAAGAGGTATGGGCTTTAAAAAAACAAACATACAGTACATATTCATCTAGGTGGGTGCTGCATTAATTGGATTCTGAATCTGTCCCCTGCCGCCTCTACACCAAGGACTGAGTGATCAAAGACCACTGATCGCTCAGTTCTTGGTCTTCAGTGAGCAGAGAACCAGTGGCTACCAGTCTCCGGCTCTCTGCTATGCCCTGCAGTGCACACTGGAGTGCTGGACACTGGAGGAGGGAAGGGGAGCGTCTGGCTCTGTCTGTGGTTAGGCATCTGGGAGGATCCCGATATTAAAGTCAGGATCTCTCTAGATCAGGGGTCCTCAAACTTTTTAAACAGAGAGCCAGTTCACTGTCCCTCAGACTGTTGGAGGACCGGACTATAGTTTAAAAAAAAAAAAACTATGAACAAATGCAGACACAGTACAGGAGATGACCAGAGACTGCGGACATACAACAGCGGCGGGAATACTGGGCCGGCCGCTCCATAAGACGCACAGACATTTCCCCCCAAGTGTGTCCCATCATTGGTGTCAGTGGGAGGAATAGTGCCGCCCCATCATTGCTGTCAGTGGGAAGAATCATGCCCCATCATTAGTGTCAGTGGGAGGAATAGTGCCCCATCATTGGTGTCAGTAGGAAGAAATCGTGCCCATCATTAGTGTCAGTGGGAGGAATAGTGCCCCATCATTAGTGTCAGTGGGAGGAATAGTGCCCCATCATTGGTGTCAGTGTTAAGAATCGTGCCCCATCATTGGTGTCAGTGGAAGGAATAGTGCCCCATCATTGGTGTCAGTGGGAAGAATTGTGCCCCATCATTAGTGTCAGTGGGAGGAATTGTGCCCCATCATTAGTGTCAGTGGGGGGAGGAATAGTGCCCCATTGTTGGTGTCAGTGGGGGGGGGGAATAGTGCCCCATCATTGTGGTGTCAGTAGGGGAAGGGGATAGTGTCCCAACATTGGTGTCAGTGGGAAGAATAGTGTCCTATCATTGGTGTCAGTGGGAGGAATAGTGTCCCATCATTGGTGTCAGTGGGAAGAATAGTGCCCCATCTTTGGTGTCAGTGGGAGGAATAGTACATCATTGGTGTCAGTGGGAGGGGAATAGTGCCCTGTCATTGGTGTCAGTGGGGGGGGGGGGATAGTGTCCCAACATTGGTGTCAGTGGGAGGAATAGTGCCCCATCATTGGTGTCAGTTGGGGGGAGGAATAGTGCCCCATCATTGGTGTCAGTGGGAGGAATAATGCCCCATCATTAGTATCAGTGACACCAATGATGGGGCACTATTCCTCCCACTGACACCAATGACACTTAACTTGCTGACCCCTGTTCCAGCATGGTGCTGCTGCAGCCAGCATACCTGGTTGTAGCAGTACCATCTGCACGGCACACTTACCTGTCAGCTTTCCTTCTTCACTCCGGTCTCTCCCTCTCACTCGGTGTTCGTGGGGCCACTCGGCTCCGCCTCCTCACTGGTGATTGGCCACCTGTGTGCCTTTCCTGAGCTACAGTTCTGGCGCCCAATCACCGGTGAGGAGGCGGAGCCGAGCGGCAGCGCGAACATCGCGTGAGGGAGTGGCCGGAGTGAATGAAGGAGCAGCGCTTCCTGGACTGGATCGTCGTGGGACTAGGACACGGAGCCAGGTAAGATACAGCAGCCCCCTGCCCGCCCCTGTACTTAGTGTCCCTTCCTCGTGGCAAATACGCCCCTGCCCGTAAATGTCCTCGGCAGGCCGTAGTTTGAGGATCCCTGCTCTAGAGTCTGGAGTGGATGAGTGATATCAGTCATCAGCAAACGTTAGCCCGATGACAGCTGAGTACGGGTCACAGGAGTGCAGAGCAAAGTGCACTCCTCTGACTTACAAGGGAAGTAGGGTCAAAAGAGTGTTGGTCCTACTTCTCCTTTAATCGTTTGAGCTCCAGGCTATTTATGAATGGTTTGTGGATGGAAAGTGGTTATTTTTTTATGGAACTAGCCTATAAAAGCAAAGTGTTGGACCTACTAACCAGGACGTAAGTAACCTGCAAATCCTCCAGTATTGTGGTTGTTGGCCTGCTTATAGATTGTCTGTTTGCAACTGAGGCTCTCTATTGGATATAGTGCCCCCTTTTTCACTTGCATTAAAAAAAAATCTGTAGATAATCAATTGGAAATAGTTTCCTTTTTCCCAGTGGCTAAGCAAATATTTTTTACTTAATTTGCCTAATTCCACAATGCTGCTACCGTGACCCAGCATCTCATCACACTGGTCGTAAGTATATCATTATGTATTTGTATCTGGAACATTCACTGTGCCAGTAAAATCTCTCTATGAGCTCCATTTCAGGAGTAGCTGATCTATCTGTGACAGCAGCCGCTCCAGCATTTCTACTGACACTATATATTAACTTTCTGCTTTGTTAGGCACAGCTACCTGCTCGTCATTTGTCCTCAGAGAAACTTTATATTTTTCTTAGTACAAGAAGTGTCAAGATTTCAATGTGGAAAGCTAACACATGTTGACTCTGCTTGCTGCTTCAATTTAGGAAGGATTTCTTTACAATAGCTAATGGTGTTTAAAAAAGTAAATTATCCGACTAAAAATCTAAAGAGTACTTGTGCTAATTAAAATGTTATAAAAGTGCCAATACTTTTCCCTTATTTACTTGTGTTACTTACTGGAGTGTTTAGGTAATTTAAACAACACTGATTTTATTACTGCATTTATTTCAGTGTTAGCAATACTGGCTTGTATTTTTTCATTATGATAGTTTATAGTAACTATATATCAGTAACACTGACTTAAAATATATACACAATGTGTGTTTTTGTGTGTGTGTGTGTATATATATGCTGTGTGTGTGTATATATATACTGTGTGTGTGTGTATATATATATATAATATATATATATATATGTATATGTACATATTTATATTTATTTATTTATAATAAACACCACCAAGGTGCAACTTTTGTTATTTCTTGCCTCTGCTACTCCCTCTAACTACTGCAACTCCCTCCTCATTGACCTACCTCTCCATAGGCCGCCCCCCTTCAGTCTTGTGAATGTCGTGAATGCTGCTGACAGACTCATGCAACTTACCAACTTCTCAGTGTTTGCCCGTCCTCTCTGCTCCGCTGGCTTCCGATTGTCCTATACCAATAAAATTCGAAATATTAACAACAACTTACAAAGCCATCCACTCTGCCAGTAGTTACATAACCAACCCCATCTCAGAATATCAAGTAAACTATCATCTTCACTCTTCTCAAGACCACCTGCTCTCTAGCTCCATTGTTACTTCCTTTTATGCATGCCTCCAGGTCTTCTCCACAGCTTCTCTCAACTTGTGGAACTACCTACCCCAACCTGAATGGCTAGTTCCTACTCTGGCTGCCTTTAGGTAATCCCTGAAAATAAAGCCATATAAATCCTGTAATATATATATATATATATATATATATATATATATATATATATATATATATATATATATATGTGAGATGGGGAAACAGCTCTCATTGTTTGAACACTGTGTGGAAGTAAATTAATGTTTTGACTGACATTCTGCAGTTTAGCCACAAGATGTCACTGTTTTTCTAACACAGCCTCAGACTGCATAGATATTTGTATATTCATGAAGAGGTGAGGTTTTGCACTCTAGAGTTGGAGTGAACAGGAAGAGGAGACTGCAGCCATGTTTTGGACAATGCTGAATGAAGGGGCCGTCTGAGCATATCCAATGACATCCAGGTGTGCATGCGTCCCTCAGTGACCAGACCTGCAGCTGAGTGAAGCTGATGAGTTTGCTGCCAGGAAGCTGATGAGATTGCTGCCTGGAATGCTGATGAGATTGCTGCCAGGAAGCTGATGAGATCAGAGGAACTAAGCAGCATATACGGCAAGATCGCATGCTTGTTGGAGAGAGACATTTGTTCTATTTAGAGTCACCAGCGGATGCAAAGCAGACCCGGGTCGGTAAGATCGTGCATGCACCTCATTTCAGTGTTGGCGCCTTGAGACTGAGTCCAGGCCTATAGTTAGTTAGTTAGGGTCTCTGTTTGTGTCAGGCCACAAGTGTTGTTACTGATTATTGGAAGGACTCCACAACTTAAAGTGACATTTCACATTGGAGAGCTGATAAAATCCTACAAACTCAAGCCAGACTGGCGTTTTGCTCAGAAGGAATACTCAGGCACATGCTACAGGACCAGTTATGGGAGAGGGAATACTGTAGATTTGTGTAAGATTGTAAGCTGTTGTGCTGCACCGCAGGCTAGCCCATACCGTACACCCATACACTGATTCCTGCTCTTTTAGGGTAATAACGGGTAAGGTGTGGCAGCTTAGTTGTGTCCGCCAGTAGGTAAATTACTTCACTTTCTACCTTCATCCATCAGAAGGCGCGCAGCACAAGGGTCTCAGCCTTTGGGCTGGGTGGATGTAAATTTATTGTATGTTTCCAGCATTTGTGGTTGTGTTTATTTGCCACATCTAAGTAAAATTCTGTTGTGGCAAAAGCTGGTGTTGGGGTTGCTTTTCTCGTTCGTGACTTCACTGTATCCTGGGGAGCCCACCCTGGTACACGTCTTACATATACACTGCTCAAAAAAATTAAAGCAACACTTTGAAAATACATCAGATCTCAATGGGGAAACATATCATGCTGGACATTTGATCATTTTGATTTCCATCAAATGGTAGGGCATCAACCTACAGAGGACTGAATTCAAAGACACCCCAAAAATCAAAGTGAAAAAATGATGCAGCAGGCTAGTCCTTTTTGCTGAAATTTAATTGCAGCAACTCAGAATGGTACTCAGTAGTTTGTATGGCCCCATGTGCTTGTATACATGCCTGACAATGTTGGGCATGCTAATAATGAGATGACGGATGGTGTCCTAGGGTATTGCTTCCCAGATCTGGACCAAGGCATCACTGAGCTCCTTAACAGTCTGAGGTGCAACCTCGCAGTGTCGGATGGACCGAAACATGATATTCCAGAGATGTTCTATTGGATTTATGTCAGACAAGCATGGCGGCCATTCTATGGTATCAATTCCTTCATCCTCTTGTCACATGAGGCCGGGTATTGTCATGCACCAGGAGGAACCCAGAACCCACTGCACCAGCATAGGGTCTTACAATGGGTCCAAGGATTTCATCCGAATAGTCAGGGTGCCATTGTCCAACCTGTAGAGGTCTGTGTGTTACTCCAGACCATCACAGACCCACCACCAAAACGGTCATGCTGAATGATGTTACAGGCAGCATAATGTTCTCCATAGCTTCTCCAGACCCTTTCACGTCTGTCACATGTGCTCAGGGGGAACCTGCTCTCATCTGTGAAAAGCACAGGGCACCAGTGGTAGACCTGCCAATTCTGGTGTTCAATGGCAAATGCCAATCAAGCTCTATGGGGCCGGTCATTGCGCACAGGGCCCACTAGAGGATGTTGGGCTCTCAGGCCACCCTCATGAAGTCTTTTTCTGATTGCTTGGTCAGAGACATTCACACCAGTGGCCTGCTGGAGGTAATTTTGTAGGTCTCTGACAGTACTCCACCTATTCCTCCTTGCACAAAGGAGCAGACATTGGTCCTGCTGATGGGATAAGAAGCTTCTGTGGCCCTGTCCAGCTCTCCTAGAGTAACTGCCTGTCTCCTGGAATCTCCTCCATGCTCTTGAAACTGTGCTGGGAGACACAGCAAACCTTCTGGCAATGGCACGTATTGATGTGCCATCCTGGAATAGTTGGACTGCCTGTGTAATCTCTGTGGGGTCCAGCTATTGCCTCATGCTACCAGTAGTGACATTGACCCCAACCAAATGCAAAACTAGTGAAAAATAGTCAGAAAAGATGAGTAGGGAAAAAAATGTCAGTGGCCTCCACCTGTAAATTCATTCTTGTTTTGGGGATCGACTCATTGTTGCCCACCTAGTGACCTGTTGTTAATTTCATTAACACCAAAGCAGCTGAAACTGATTAACAACCCCCTCTGCTACTTAACTGACGAGATCAATATCCTATGAGTTTAATTGACTTGATACTTTAATTTTTTTGAGCAGTGTATATACACTATATTGCCAAAAGTATTGGAAC